ATCTTAAAAAAAGTGTTCAGTTTGGTCAGGGTGTTCTTGTGGACTGAGGGAGGCTGGGTGTGGAGTCTGTGCATAAAGGCATTTCTGCATAGCTATGTTATTGCAAGGTAAGCAGCAGAGAGAAAGTACAATTAATTAGTTCCTCCTGTATGATCTCATTTGTACACTGTTAAGAACTTTATAAAAGGTAGGAAATGGGACAGAGCAAAGCTTGGACCAGAAGCTCCATGTTTAAACTTAAAAAACCTGGCTTTACAGCTATGCAGGGCTTGCTTTTGTTCTTTTCATCTCTGTCTGGTTGAGGGCAACCTACATTGCATGTTTGTTTGCTTTCCTTTTTATCTTGTTTTATTTATATTTATTTGGAACACTAAGAGGTTGCCACAGAATAGTTTAAAACTGAAAAGTGGGATGGTTTGTGGTGAAAACAATATTACTTGTGCCTCTGAGTTAAATTTCTTTGTTGAATCAAAATTTTCCTGCAGGATAAGAACAAGATACAAACAAACAAAAAATCCTTGGTTAAGTGCTGGAAACTGTGGTTGTGCAGGAAAGAGAAAGGAGAATTACAGGGAGGTACTGGCTCATAACTCAAAATTCAGTTTTAACTTGGAGATTCTTCTGCTAGTAAAACAGTGGCCAAACTTCTGATCCAGATGGAGTCCTGACAGTAATTACTTGTACGTATGCTCCAGTCATTGCTGCTGCTCTCACAGCTATTCTGGAAGAGACTTGGGTGGTTTTGTGTTAGATATCCCCTCCTGCTCCCTCTGCTTTCTAGGCATAGCATAACACTATTTTGTGGGAGTATTGATCTCTGCTGGCATCGATACTGCCTGTCTGGTGTATCTCAGAACCCAGTAAAGTTGGGGTTTATTTTTGTACTTCTTTCGGAATTTTTTTTCCCCCTTATTTTTAACCTCCCCTGTAACTACCCCGAAGATGTTAAAAAATCAAGTGAATTAACTGATTTCACAGGAAAAAAACCCAGTGTGTTGTCACATCTTTGTAGCTCAGGTTACATCTGATGCAAGCCCTTCTCTCTGGAAATGCCTCTTCTTCTCTCCAGCACCTTTTGGTGAGAGGTGACTGTGCTATGACCAGGTGGCAAAGTCCTGGCCTGATGCTGGGTGTATTTTATGGGCAGCTGTGTACCTGCAAGTTAAATACTGCACAGTTGTATCACCTCTGTCCCTTTGTGAATGTGTTCCCAAGTATTTGTGCCATCTAAAAATTGAAACAGAACATCAGATAACCACGGTGCCACAGCAATTATCAATATTCTTGGAGGCCTTAGATCAGAGGCCAAAGAACAAACTGGTGATGGAGATTCAAGTATCACTTCTGGGATGCAAGACTGAGTCCAGATGGGATTGAGGATGTCAGCTGGATTTTCTGTAGGCAGGGGCTGCCCTGTGGTGAAATAGGGTGGTGACCTCATCGTGATGCCTTTCACCTGCTCATATCTGTTCAAGTTCACCTTTGAAACAAGTCACCAGTCTAAATTCTGTTGTGACAACCAGAGTGCAAGCAGGCTTTGTTAATCTGTGTTCCACAGGGATGCCAGGCGGCTCTTTGATGTCAGAAGTGATTGTTTAACAGCTTGTCTCTTGCTTTTTCAAAGTGTGGCACAGGTCGAACACAGCAAAGTTAATGAGTAGTTCAGCAGCTGAGGAGACCAGAGCAAGTACCCATGTGACAAGTGTGGCAAGTGTTTCAGATGCCCTCCATGCCCAGTGTTACCAGCAGAGCTTGTCCCATCCAGAGGGTGCCAAGATCTTGCTTGGGACTGTGTGGGTGAACATTTGGGCCAGGAGCTGCTAATGCTCTGGTACTCTGTCTCAAAGATTTGATGTAGCAGTGCAAGCCAGAGAAAGTGAAAGAAAAGCAGTAGTTAGGGGGAAAAAATAAATTCTAGAAACAAAGTTGATAGCCCTTCCCTTTCCTCCCCCTTTCTTGCCCTCAGATGAAAGAGTTTATACAACCATGAGGCAAAAGAATTAACTGAAAATGCAGTTTAAAAAAACAGTCACTAATTTTAAGTGTATTTAATTTAATGCTGTGCTGAGTAGTGTGCTGAAATTGAGCCATTTTGATCAGAACCATAAAATACTAGAATTATACATGGACCTATAAAAAAACTGGTTGTGTTGTAGATGTTCAAGTGATGCCAAACTGTGGCAGCCTCTCACTTGTGCTTGCCATTGAAATTGATTTCAGACGTTCCTTTAAATTTCATTGAACATCCTGACACAAAATTTTATGAGGATATCAAACCTGCCACACTCCATGCAGTTACCCATATTCTACTTCTCTGCCTTCCAGCAAACTACCCTTCAGCTTGTGGGCTGCAAGGTCTTTTACCATCTTGAACTCAAAACACTATATTGGAGTTAATTTTACAGCTGGGGTTAAAATGCACAGAACTCTGCATCCATTGCCAGTTTATCTTAATCATCATAAACAGTAAAATGTGTGCAAATGTGTGCCCTCTGACAGCTCTTTATGTATATGGCTGAGGTTTGTGCCTGTTAGTGCTGCCACTGAAGTCAAGCACATCCTTTTTAGTATCTCAGGCCCCCATTGCTTTGGGTTGATTTGCCCAGCATGACCACTGGAATGTTTTATTCTTTAGTTTCTTTACATCGTAGGCTTGCAGTGGATATCAGATTTCTGATATTTGGGTATTGTGGAGACAGAATTTTCTTCTGTTACCACATATTTAGTCTTTTATTGTTGGATATAAAAATGCAAAACTGATATTTGTAGTAGCAATTGATCTTATAAGTTGAGATTTAAAATAATGGATTTTAAAAATACTCCTAATCTCTCCCTCATCCTGTTTAAGTATTGGTATCTGATTTATGCTGTGGAGAGGTTACTTGTTTTAAATCTGTTCACTGAACTGAGTTTATAGAGTTATATGCCAGCAGAAATTGAAGCTCTGGTTTGCTGCTGCTGTGTATTTGCAGCTAATTGAATTGTGGATACTAAGAAATGAGTAGCTCAGCTTGACTTCTTGGCACTGCAGAATTTTTATCCTGGTTAGTAATTTTGAAGACTCGCTTTCAAACAATGGTTCAATGGGCGCCCTCACAAAATTGTGTGGGTAGTGATGTCAGAAAAATTTACCAGCTGCATGTTACCCAAAAGCCTAAATCTTCTGCCTCAAAAATGTAAGGAGAATGAGAGCTGATCTGTGGGCTTTGTAAGAATGCCAGTTAGCAGAAACTGAAGGAAATACTCATTTGACTTCTTGCTAAGAAAAAGCTAATGGTAGAAAATGGAGTGATCTGATGGATTTTTAATAGTTCTGTAAATCTTGACCAGTACATTATATTCCATGAAAGGAACATGTAAAATTATATGACTTGCCATTATGTCCTATAAATTTGAGTATACTAGCAGTTAGTTAACACAAATAAAATGGATAAGAGTGTGGTCTAGTAAAAGCATTGCCAGAGGAAAAACAGAAGAAAAAGGAAAAATTGCAAGTAAATATATTTAAAGGCACTAGGAGCTATTATCTTCAAACTTCATTAACTGCTTTCTTTTTCCCCCTATTTAGAAGTATATTACCTCAAAGGTAATTTGTTTCATGCTCATCTAACATTAATGTTATTAATTTTTAATTAATCGAACAGTAGCATTGTCCATCTGTCAGTGCAAACCTAATCTGTTAAACAGATAAAAATCAACATGTCTACAGGTTCATTGTAGGTTGGCAGGCAATAGCTGCATGTGTGCATTCAAGGTTTTCTATTAAATAATTCAAAGACTTTATACAAATACACGAGTGCAGAGGCTTTTAAAACCAATGTGCTAGTACAGAACAACTGATAAAGTGTCCTAGCTTGTGATTCTGGTGTGCTAAAGCTGGGGATCTTCTTGACCAAAAGCTGAAGTTAATCCTCCCACAAACACCCATTTTTTTGCTCAAGTGGAGCCCTTGGGAGATGCTGATGAAGAACCCTGCAGAATGCTAGATGTTTCTCAAATTTGGCTTCTATTTTGACATCCTTATTTGGAAACCTCATCTCCTCCATGTGCACCACCCCCAAATTTGGATCACAAAAGGCGTTTTGAATGGAAACAATTGCTGGATGTGCTTTGCTTTCACACTCTTTAAATTTGGCTGGCTGATTGTGAACGGAGCAGCATGTATGTGTGTCTGTGGGAGCACTGAGCAGCTTATGGAAATTTTACTTGTGCTTCTAGGGGCTGAGAGCTGCCCTCTGTTAAAAGAGGCAAGTAAGACAAGTGTTTCAAAACTATTCCAGTTTCCTGTTTGGATGCTAAAATGTGCTTTTGAACAAGTTATATTTAACACTGTGTTTTTGGTTTGGACAGAGATAAGCATCAGCAACAGGAGGAGAGCAGCTCCCTTGGTCACAGTTGAAGCAGTGTGTAAATGTGATGTGATATAAATATAAATGATAATGTGTCTGCTTTGTACACAGGTACCTGACTGGTGGGAGCCAGAGCAGTGCTGTCTCTATAAAGTGGGCAGGTGTGGGCTTATATTCCTCTGGAATTTTTAGTTTTGTAATAAGCTGCTCCAACATCAGTTCTAAGCAGGCTCTTACATCCACACTGCTCCAGGTTTGAACTGGATTGACTAACCCAACAGTACTTCAAGAGAATTTACTCATCTTTTATCACTCAGCTCAGCTGAGCTGTTCTCAGCTGTTGTTGGGTTTGGAAAGGACAAAACACTGCAACTGGTCATTGCTGCTTGAAATTGTTTCCTAGCCAGGCCTGACCATAGAGGAAATCAGCTACTTTTCCACATTGTGTATGGAGGTTTATGGTTGGACTCTATGATCTTAGAGGTCTTTTCCAACCTAAATGGTTCTGTGATTCTCTACTTTTGATTTCAGCTTTAGCTTCCTGTTCATCATCTACCTAAGCAAAGCTCTTCACAGCTGTGCAAAGGAGCCCAGTGCCAGTGCTGAATCAAGTTTTAGGAAAGAAAATGCATGTGTGAAGGTATTTCTGAGCGGGTGAAAAGGCCATTGCTGCAGTGGTAGAGGCTGTCAGCTGGAAAGTTGTGTCTCTGTAAGAGCTGGCTGAAGCTCCTCAGCCTCCTGTCCTGTCATTCCCGCCCCCACAGCATCCTTTGCTTGGGTGGTCCAGCTGTTTACAGGCAGCCTGGTGAGAGAGGTCAAGAAACTCAATCAGTTCTGGAAAAAATGAGGAGGGGGGATTATTTTTGGCCTGGATCAGTTTCCTGATCATCTTTACCTTCCAGGCCTGCAAATGGTTGAAGTAGCCCGGCTGAGGGGGGGCAGTGGTAATGCAGAAATGGGTTAGATCACAACTTTGCCCGAGAGAAGCAGTCCATTTGCACTGGCTGTAGGCTAAATAAAGAACTTCAAGGTTGGCTTCTCGACCAGAGGTTTATTTTATGTTCTGCTGGCTCACATAAGCTGTAGAAAGGGACCTTACCACATTCATTTTCCAAGCACCAAATTCTCTTTGAAAATAAACCTGATTTGATAGCCCAGTGAATCTTAGTGCTAAGCTTTTTGGCAGGGGTAGGGGCTTTGGTTACCTCATGTTCATCCAGTTCTGGCTGCATTAGGACAAATTGAGCCACATGAACTTCATTATAGGTGCGTGTTCTTGCCACACTGTTCCTGTAAAGATTATAGATTAACTAGAGTTCTTTGATAACTACAGTTCATTATTGGGAATTTTTAGAACTAAAGCTTTGCTTGAATTCCTCTTGGAAAAAAAAAAAAAAAAGGAAAAAAGTTTAACCAAGGATGACTGGAAACTGCAACAGGGGGTTTCTGCTCCTTGCTCTGTCACTTCTCCATTGGTACCCAAATAGCAAGGAAAGATGAGGAACTGCCAAACCACCTACCAGTCTGCTCCAGAAAGACAGGACACTTTAATTGAATGCTGAAACACCAGGTACATTAAAATGCTCATCTCCTCCCAGCTGCTGGGAAAGGTGTGGTGCAATCTGTGTGCGTGTGAGAAGGCTTGTTCTTTTTTTTTTTTTTTTTTTTCCTTCATCAGGTAATATATTAAATTTTGAATGCAACACTGCAATTAGAGAAGATTAACTTGTTGATGTCAGATCTGCTTTCAGGGTTGCTGTTCTGTCAAGCCTTGAGTTATGAAAGTGAAGTGTAAAGGTGGGTCCATGACCTTGTATCCCAAGGAACATCTCCCTGAGCTCATGTCAGGCTAAGGATTTTTCTCAGGGATGGAGTGGAGAAAATCAGATTCTGGCAGCTTCTGTGGTTACAAGTCATAATGACAGTTGTATACTCACCTTGAAATACCCTACACAATGCCCAGGACCACCTGGCATGTTATATTGGCTTTTTAGATAAAAAGTTAACCTTTTGGTTTTTAAATCTGAATTTTTCTTCACAAGGTTATTGCCAGACACTGCTAACCAGCTCTACTTCTTTGCAAAAGAGAAATGTGCTTGCAGTTTCTGGAGTGATGATAACTGTTACAGAACTAACTTCCTGGGGAGGAATTGCTTCCCACCATTCATTGGAAGCTAATTGCTAATGGTTGCAAACTCCAGTGAGAGTACCTATCCCGTGATCAGCAAAGCATCACTAACATGTGAGTCTGACACAAGTAATACCATATTTGAGTTCACTGATTTGCTGACATGGATGCTGCATTGCCTTTCCAAGCCTGGTGCCAGGTACCATGCAAGGGTTTTTACCATAAATAGGTAAAGGATTGGCCAGTAAAAGCATGTTGAGAAGGGGGTTGGTTTTTTGTTTTTTTTTTTCTGCCTTTCCCCAAATGGCTGTTCTGAACTATTTGGGAAGAATTGGCAGATATTTACAAAGTTTAGGTCCCAAATACTCTTCATCAGCCAATATAAATGTCTGTACTCATGTGGATAGGGAATGTGTGGTGGATCTCTCCCTGGTTGAGTGTCTGTGATGAGGCAATATTAAAAGGTTTATTCTACAGAGAAGTGCTTTTATTTATTTTCTAGAAGCGCTCTGCTGAGGTGAAGTGGTTTGCCTGGTGGCAGCAGAGCTGTGGTGGTAAGAGACCTTGCAGGGGAACATCCAGAGAAAGACAGCTCAATTTATCTGGCTCTCTCACTGTCTTTCACTGAGCTGAGAAATTGGCATCTGTGTTATTTGCTTTCAGTGCCAGCACTGGCTGCCAGGAACTGCTGCCTCGCCGGGTAGGGCTCTCTGATGAGTGGAAAACCAAAGGAGCACAGAAGAGCTGTTAATTACTGCAGATAGACAAATCGGCTTCTCAAGGGCCACCCATGGCCTAGAGACACCAGTAAAATGTGCTTGGGCAGCGAGTACTTTACTGTGTCTTTGACCTGATCTAGGTACACAAGCAAACCTTTTGGGCTTTTTTGATGCAGTAGTGTACGTGTCTGATTGTGCCACCTATCTACAAGAATGGCCGGAAGGAGGATTAAAGGCACTCCTGGCACGTCAGCCTGACCTTGGTGCCAAGGAAGCTCAGGGAGAGCCCATCCTGAGTGCCATGACACAGCACACACAGGGCAGCAGGGGAATGAAGCTAAATCCAGTTGAGGCTGGTCACTAGGGGTGTTCTCCAGGGCTCAGTATTGGGGCCAGGTCTCTTTGGTATTTTTATCCATCATCTGGATTGGGCAGTCAAGTACGTGCTCAGTGAGCTATGGGTGGGAGTCAGTCTCCCAATTAACAAGTGATAGGACAGGATGAAATGGCCTCAAGTTGTGCCAGGGGAGGTTTGAGTTTGAAATTAGGAAAGATTTTTTTGACTGGAAGAGTTGTCAACACCGGAAGAGACTGCCCAGGGAAATGGTGGAGCCATCATTCCTGGAGGGATTTAAATGATGTGTTGATGTGGCACCTGAGGACACGGCTTAGTGGTGGCGTTGGCAGTGCTGGGTTGATGAGTTTACTCAATGATCTTAGAGGTCTTTGCCAACCTAAATGATTCTGTGATTCTGTCTTCTGGGAACTCTGGGAATCTTTTCCTGGAAATAGGAACAAAAAATCTGTTTTCTGTATTCCAGTGTGTATTCACTATAGATGTATTCAGTCTTTTAACACCGTCTGAAGTTTCAGTTTTTGAGAGAGTGGGAGCAGTAAAGAGAATGGACTTGATGTGAATGCTGCAATGTGGTGTGGCATTCTGACATTCTCATAAAATGGTTTTCGATAAAAGTCCAGGCTGATGAAGGTCACAACCTGCGTAATAGATCTCCCAGCAAACTCCTGTCCTGGGACTGTTCAACTCCTCAGTCAGCTCTGCTCAGAATACTGCACTGCTCCCAGAGCAGTCCTGTCCTGCTCTGCTCACTCCCTGGCACACGCCGTTCACCACTTCAGGGCAGATGGAGATGAATTTGGCCATTGCACTGTGTGCCCATGTCTGGGGAAGGTTCTTGGTTTGGCACAAAGATTATACATAAACGATTACTGGTACTTCTGTTTGGGTGTGTGGATTATGTTTGACTCCAGCAAATGCTGGTGTGAATAATCTGCAAATCACCAAGCAAGGAGTAGGGAGGATTGAAGGGCATGATCAGAAGTGCACGGTGCTCTCTACAGTTGCCAAAGACGTAATTTGCTCAAGTTTATCAGGAAATTTGGGGATTGTAACTTCTGTTGGTCATTAAAAGAAAGTGTTTTAGAAATGAGGTATGTTTTCCAGCAAATGCAATGGTAAAGCAAATTTGCTGAGGGAGAAAAAATACTTCATGATAGATGGGAGCATGCTGAACCGAGTCCTTTGAAGTCCTTTGAACAAATTGTCATGACATGTCATTACAAAATTAAATTTATTTAATAGTTTATTTTCACATAACTCTCCAGTGGTGAGTTTTGTAAATGATACTTTGTATGCGTCTGGTTCAAAAGAATGTCCATATTTATACCATTTCCATTAACTTCTGTCCAGTTCTGAACATTGACTCTGGATGAAGAATAGTAGAAATAAATTTGAGGAAGAGTTATTCACTGTTTCTCACACACCTGGGGTGTGTGGCCTTCATTATGACGTGGTTTACCAGTGCAGGAGTTGGGTGGAGGCTACAATCATTTTACTGGTTGGTGTGGAACTTGAACATCTACAATAACAATTTCTAACAATATTTGACTAAGAGTAATCTGTGCTTTTATGATTGCAAGGATGCAAATCATGAAGAAGAAGCTTTCTTATTTCAGGATCCTTTGTGTACATATATTTGTACATATATATATGTGAATATATATATGCATGAGTACTTGGCCTGTGTAAATAGGAGAGAATTGCTTGCTGAGGTCTAAACTTATATTCTCGATGTAAATATTCTCATATGCTTTATTCCCTCATTATTTTTCTAACAGCTGCTATCCTCTGAAAAGAGAGCACTGGAGCATGAAGGGAAATGGGAGGAGGGGGGATCTCCCGTGCTGTGTGCTAATGTACCATAATTGTTTATATTCATTTTTGGTTTGGTTGTGAACGCAAATCTTGTAACTCTTCACATCTGTTTTGGGCATTTTCATCCAAGGATGTGACAGAGCTTTAATGAATAGCTCCTTTTACAGTTAAGTTTTAATGGCCTGGTTTAATTGAGGGGAAACTGATACTCTGAAAGATAAGCACTGAAAGAGCCACGGGCTGGTTGGGTGACTCCAATGTTGGATCACTGGACTAAGATACTTAGGAGATGTTTTCAGAGGAGCCACTGTGACGGGCATTTCAGGAGTCTGGCTGGGTCCTGTTGGCTGAAATGAGCATGAATGTCTAGTCACCAAGAAGTAGTGGGAAATTCCAAAAAGGATTGATTGCAAGAAACTTGATCGTATCTCAAGTATTTGATAGATCTGAGTGGAACATGGCTCTGTGCATTAAGTACAAATGAGTCTTCTGTGTTCTTTTTGACTCTTTAGTCTTTGTTTTACAAGATTGAATGAACAAGGTGCTCAGTTTAACTGGCTGTTGCAATGAGGTAGCTTCCTTATTCTTTTCTACTTCTCTTTTATCCCCTTTTCTTCTTTTACAGGCTGCAAGGTAGTTTTTCTGACTGAAGTTGTTTTAGGAGTTATGATGAGGTTTTGGTTAATTGCAGGCCTTAGAAGTCTGATATCCTGAAATGTCTTACTTGTTGCTCATTTGATTGTTCTTTGTCAACATCTTGCTGTTCCTACTGGGATTTTTGACACACAGAATTTGAACTCGTTTATCTTTTGCACAGAAAAGTAAACATTTTGCTGGAGGCTGACAGCAAGGAAAACAACACTAATCTCCAATCAACAACTTTTACCACAGGTTGGGCAGGAAGCAACACCCATGCTGTGCATTTTACTGCCTGGCCCTCAGAGCAGGCACGTGGCCAATTCCAATCACACAGCAATCGATTTTTGTTAGAGGCAGCAGCTGTGCATGAGTGGGAGCTCTGAGATGTCTCTTCCTCCTACTCTGGGTCTCTCTGCCTTTGCTCACCAGCAGTGCTGACCTTCAGATCATTTCTCTCATCTTGGCACTGACCTCTTGAGACAGCAGCAGTTCATAACAAACATCCAAAAAATGTAGAGCTAGATGGAAAAATGGATCACCCATGTCATCTTTACTGGAAGAATGGGTTATTTCTTAGGGGATCAGTGGGTTTTGACAGCTCACCTGCCCATCTCTGTTCCACACACTGTTTCATAGGGGAAGTGAAGGACTCCTTGGTGAGTCTTCTCTTCAGGTTTCTATTTATTTATTTAATTTATCTTCGCTCTGGTGCTCCTCTCTGCAGGTACTTTGTACTTTTGAAAACAGAAGCAAACATGTCGTGTTGGCTACAGCATATAAAGCAACTGTGTAAATATACAGTGCCCACACTTTGGAGCCCCTTTGTTGGAACAGCCACTTTATGAGTGATTCCAGTGTTCCTCAGCAACCAGCCTTGGTGCAGGAGTTCTGCTTTTCAGTTCTGTGTATGG